GGCATCTAGGAATAAATCCAAAGTCAACTTGAATTGGTTAGTCTCTTTGTCCAAAGTACAAATAGGTTACAGCAAGCAGAGACCCTTGAAATTAACGGCGTGGCACACACCAAGAGACCCTGCTCATGACAGAGCAGTCACTGAATCAGGAAGAGCACGCTACAAACCTCCTGCTCACCAATCTCTTATCACTCCTCTTACCAAGTAAACAAAGAACAACCAGCCACAGGCCGAGTTCCTAACAAACTCACAACAAAGGTGATTAAATAACCACCTACTACACAGCAGGGCGGGTAGGGCTGTGCAAACATGTTGAATAAAGAACTTCCTGAGGCGTGCAGAGAAGCAATTGTTGCTTCCTAGAGAGCAAAGCGGCTTCCCAGTGTTGTGTGCAGGTGTACTGTGTGTGAGTGAGCACAAACAGAGCAGTGCTAGAGTGCACGTGTCCTGTACGCCAGGTGTTTGGGGGATGAGCGTGTGCTGACAAGCACGATGACGATGGCAACATTAACGACACACGAGTGGCCTCAGCAAGGGCATGGAGGGCAGGGGTACACCGCGCAGTCAAAGAAAGGAACGGTGTGTGCTGTGGAATCAACAGCTGCAAATTTAAATGCTTCTAGGAGTCACATGAATGCCAAAGAAGCAACAAAACAAGCCGGACGATAATGGCACTTGACACTCTATCTCGGTGTCTTCAGGGTGGCAGCAGGTTGTGGTAAACTGGAATGGGCCTGTCTAGTTCAGACAGGCAGAGGCTATTTGTGCCAGCCAACTGCTGTCACAGAGAAGTGCACCCAGGACTTTGGATATCTCAAGAGAAAGACAGATATCCAGGTTTGTCACCCTGATTTTAACTGATGGCAAGTCAGTGAAAACAATGTTTAAAAAGATTCTGGATGCCCAAATGAAATGTATCTGTGGGCAGGCTTCAGCCTAGTGGCTGAGCCTCTGCAACTTTGGATGCGGAGTATAAATTAGAGGGAAAGACTTGTAGCAAAGGCTGGAAACAGACTGTGAAAGGCCTTGAATGCCATACTAATGAGTTTGAACTTGACCGTAGACTCCAAGGAGAATATCAGCAGCGGTGCATTTCAGAATGGCATCTCTCAAACTGTGTGTTTACACCTATTGTTGGGTAGTTTTACTTTGCATGATGGTTATGGAAGCAGGAAAGAGAGTGAAAATGAAGTAGGGAACCACTGAGGTAATCACAACAGTCCAGATGAGAATTAATACGGCCTACCAGCAAAATACAGGGAGAACAGGTGATGGTTTTGAGCAAGAGAAAGAGAGGGAAGAAGCTCTCAAGTTCAGTTATGGCCAGAGATTGAGGAGCCGCACACGTGAGGATCAAGAAAGGATGGCCGAGGTGTCGAAGGGATCAGGTGTAAGGCATCATCAGAACAAAAAATCTTACCATAGTGAATGATGGGGGGAGTGCGGAGTGGAGATCCAAAGCCCATTAGTAGGCCACTGGAGATCCCCTTGCAGAGGGGTCTCGGGGAGGAGATGAGCCAGTCAGGGTGCGATGTAACGATGAGAAATACAACTTTCCTCTAGTTCCTAAAGGTTTCCTCCCCGCTCCCACTACCATGACTCGAATTCTATCTTGCAGGACTGGCTAGACCAGAGGAGATACACTGGTACAGATAGGAACTGAAAATACAGAGAATCCAGGACGGATGAGCCCTATGGGATCAGTGGTGTGAGTGGCAAAACAGGGAGGGTAAAGGGAGAATGGGTAGGAAAGAGGGAACCGATTACATGGAACTGTGTGTGACCTCCTCCCTGGGGGACAGACAACCGAAAAGTGGATGAAGGGAGACGTCGGACAGGGCAAGATATGACAAAATACCCATTTATAAACTATCAAGGGCACATGCAGGAGGGGGGAACGGGGGAGGGAGGGGAAAAATGAGGACCTAATGTCGGGGGTTTAAATGGAGAGAAAATGTTTTGAGAGACGATGTACAAATGCGCTTTACACAATTGATATGTGTATGGATTGGGATAACAGTTGTATGAGCCCCTAATAAAATGTTTAAAAAAAAAGAAAGGATGGCCGTAGGGCAGAGGAGCCCTGCCCAGCCAGGTCAATACCAGGGTCTTCTCTCTGACTTGCTTCTTATTTGTTATGAATTTCTCAAAAAACAGAGACAGTTCCTGACTGATAATTTCATTCTTCTCTCAAATCAAACATGCTATTACTACAGCATCCCCTCCCTCCCCCATTTAACCAGTCTCTCTTGAAATAGCTAAACAATGATGCTTCCCAAGCATCCAAGGTATTTGGTACCTTAATGAAAGCATACATTCTGTTGGGTTAAGAAGAGAAAAAAAAAATCTATCCCAGGAGTAAAGGTCACCTTCCGTAGGCAGACACCTTCTTAGTTGGCTTTAGCTTCCAGCTGTCTTTTTACTTGGCTCTTCTAACGTACACAATGTTTTCTGCTCCAACCGTCAAGGTACAGCGTTTTCACACAGTTACCGTTTCTCCTAGTATTTTCCCATTTATTTTCCTTGTAGCAAGAGTCACTTCTGTTTCAATTGCTTTGGGTCACAAGTTAGGCAGAACAGTATTAGCCAGTTAGCAGTTTCAGATATCTAAAATTCTCTTCCTTCTGCTCATTGCTAAGGACCCTGGGTGACACTCTGGGTTAAGCATTGGACTGCTAAGAGGTTGGTGGTTCAAGTCCACCAAGTGCTCTGTAGAAGAAAAATGAGGTTGTCTGCTCCTTAAACGATCCACAGCCTTGCAAGCCCTACCTGAGGAGTTCTATCTGTCCTACAGGACCACTATGACTGGGAATCAATGAGAGTCAGTGGGTAGTTCATATTGGTAATACAAGAGATCATCTGGGCCATGTGACACCACCATAAACTATGCTTGCAAAACAAAATAAAAAGCCATGCCATCCAGTCAATTGGACACCTAGGTTCCAGGGGCTGTAAATCTTTACAGGAGTAAATTCTGGTTTCTCCTAAAAACAGCTGGTTTTTGAGCCCCTGACCATATGGTCAGCAACCCAATGCTGAGCAAGAGGACATTCCAACAAGGCCAGACTCACTGCCTCTGAGTCAGTGCAGACTCAGAGACCCTATCGGACAGAGTAGAGCTGCCCCTGTGGGGTTCAGAAACTGTAATCCTTTGTGGGTGTAGAAAGCCCCATCTTTATCCCAAGGAGAGGTTGGTGGTTTTGAACTGCTGACCTTGCAGCCCAACTCGAGTCACTACACCACCAGAGCTGCTATCAAGATACTAGTTACAATAAAATCAGAAGATCCTCCTGTACACTGTGGCAGTTGTATCAGAATTCAAAGTTTATTGGCTAACTCATGCCAATAGCACTGACCATGCCTGGGTCCTCCAGGGCCTGGCTGGGGCTAAACCTACATGGTGAGGAGATCAGCGAAGGCGGCAGTGCAGGGCCCAGATGTACAGGGAACAGGCAAATGGAGATAAGACTTGGGAGGCTGCCAGAAAGGTTGAACTAGTGCACATGAACAGGCCAAGGCTAACGATGTGAGTCAACTGTAGCCTTTGACTTTTTAAAGATCATACTTGTTTCTTCTCTACAGATAATCTTTCAATCTCCCCCAGAATTAATACTCAATGATACATGTCCGTTCACCACAACACACATGATGCAGCTCTGGCAAAGAAAGAACTTGGATCGATTCATCCTCTCCACCTCCCAGTTACATACAACCTACACCGTGGTAAAGGGAGGGAGAATTAGAGGAGGTGGGTCTAACAACAAATGCTCTTGATCTTGTAAAAAAATTTGGACATAGCCTTCTAAGTAAGAAAAGTGTATATTTTAGAGGATTAGTCACACTAAATCCTTAAACTTCCTTTTTTACTCGTCCAACCTGAGAAAAGTGCTGTATGAAGTGGCTTCTGAAAGTTTGTGAAGAATTCCAAAATCCTTTAAATCTATTTTTCTACCCTCTTTTAAATTCTATTTCCCCATGACTCTCCTTCACATGACGGCAGTGTTAAGGGCCGTGCCAAGAAGAGCTCAAGGGAATCACTCTCTCCTATCTCTGGCAGTACTCTCCTCCACATTTCTCCAACAGAGACTGTTACAAATTATAAGCCCAACGAGAAAAGAGATTGTGTAGTATTCTTTTCGTCCCTCCAGGTACTTCAAATAGCTTCTAATACAAGGCCCTTGATGATGGCTACTGAATTGAATAAAGGCCCCCGGAAACGCAATTCTTACTCATAATCAACCTCCAGCTCATACGAAGCACTTTTAAAGGTACCGCTATATGTAGGAGTGGATGAAGCTCTACAAAAACAGGCTGGGACAGTCTTGGATGAGTATGCCCTTAAAAAGCGAGACTGGAAGAGAGCCCAAAAGGAGGCTTCAGCTCACATGTAGGGGACCGATTAGAAAAGAGAGTGGAAGGAGGGCAGATAGATGCAGAAAAGAAGCGGCTCCGAGGAGCGGGAGAAGTGAATGCTGGAAGGTTTTCCTTTGCTCATTTCCTGATGGAGCAGGGTTCAGAGGGCCAGAGCTCGACTGGGATCACAGGGCAACCCATCCCCACTAATCACTCATATATCATTTGGACGGCTACTAAAATGTGTTCCAGTGCCCATAAAACACTAAGCAATTAGAAACCAGAGCACCTGAGCTTGTCTTCAGCGATATTTTTTTCCATCTGTAACAGCTCTCTTCATAAGAAATCTCTCAAATAACCCCATTTTATTAACGCAGATAAAATAAAACTCAAATTGTTCTGGTTGTAGTAAGTGGCCAGAAACCCACCTCGAAGCCCTTCAATAATATCAATGACACACAAAATGGGAAAACCACAGACCTAGGCCTGAGGATTTCAGTAATTAATCCTCTCCCAAACCAATCTCCTCACCTGACAGAGGGATGAGCACCAGGCCAGAACTGGAATCCAGGCCAGGGATTTCCCCCATGACATCGCATCCAGCTTCCAACACCCCAAGGAAAGAGGAGAACGCAGCTCCGACTTACCGTCTTTGTTCAGCCACTGCTTTCTCGCTCGGTACAGGAGGAGTTTGTTGTGGACATACGGCAAGAGGAACTTGACACACCAGCTCTCCACACCAAGTTTGTTTTCAACCAGGACTATCGGACTCCGGTTATACCTAGCTTCAGGACATGGGATCAGTCCAATTTCGTCTCTTAACATATGAAACATAAAAAAGAATTAAAAATAAGAATGCTAGCTAGTCTTGTCAAAAAAGTTTTTTACATTCCACAAAGTATGTTTTCAACTCCACACACAGAAATATCACTGAGTTCACTGACTAGATTAGTACGAACTGTTTTAAAAGTTTGCTGACACCCAGGACTGGCAGCAAGCAGGGTGTATTCCCGGTTGCCAAGAGTGAAAATCAGCGTGCCCTCCGGGGGCAATGGGATTTAAAATGTAAATGCATATGCCTTTACCCAGCAGTCCCACTGCTCGGAAATGATCCCAGGCCAAAATATTAATAGGACTTTGACTGCAGCACTGCACAAGCAAAGTGGAAAACAATCTCAATGGGTCTCAACATAAGGCTGAGATACATTATGACCCATCGGGCCGGCCGTGGAGTGGAGATGTCTCACGGTGTCCGGGCTGTCAGTCTTTACCAAAGCAGACCGTGGCATCTTTCCCGCTCGGAGTGCCTGGTGGGTTCAAACTGCCAACAGTGAGTGGTCAGCGGCGGCGTGCTTAACCACCATGGTATCAGACCTCCTGCCAAGCAACCCTATTAGTAAGGATGAAGCGTGGCCTTCATAGGTAGGTATGGGAAGACTGCCCTGGTTTGTTAACTGGGGAAAAAACCTCAAATACCAGAGCGTACAATACTAAGCCGTCTATAAAAATGCTAAATTAAAAACATATGTATATAAAGAGAGACAGTGAATAATTTCTTGGAAGGCTATAGAAAAATTTTCAGGGAGCGGAAGATGTTGAGGAATAATTATATTTTTATAGAGCTTAGAATTTTTGTTAATGCGTATGTATTTATTTTTCAAAAAGGTCAAAAATGTAATTTGGCTTACTTGCAAATACTGTATATAGAACAGAAACAATTAAGAAAGTTACATGGGCAGTGAGACTGTGAACCATGTTTCTTTCTACTTTATAGTTCTTCATGTTTTTCTGAATTAAAAAAAATGCTGCTAATGCACAAAATCCATTTAGAAGTTGATCATTCTGGGAGCATTTGCATCCCATAATTCACCTAAAGTTGAAATTTCATGACATTTTCTAGTCAGAGATTTGATAAACAATATGCAGGGCACCGGACTTACACACTAAATGAACCAACAAATAAGAAAATATTTGCGCCAAGTTTCAATATGTCTTCCATCTGTAAAGGAAGCTACAATTAATTCTTGCCTACATGAACAGGCATTCTCACATAATACGGCTTTCTTCTAATCCGTGAATAACAGCAAACGCTTTACCAGCAAGAACAGTTGAAGTACCTAAGACTGGTTTAGAGTTTCTCATAAAGAAACTCACTCACTGCTACGGAGGCAATGCCCACTCGTAGCAACTCATGCAGGACAGGGTAGAACCGCCCCGGTGAGTCCAAGAGTGGAGAATTCATCAAGGAATTCATCACCTGCCTTCCTAAATGTAGAGATCTAGATGGAAGGTATACTGAGAAGCAGCAGCTTCATATTTTGAAATTTTTAAGAAAGGTGTCTACATTTTTGTAGCAATACTTTCTCACTCTGCTATTTACGATGGCCCTGGGTATCCCTGTAAGAAGATGCAAGTTTGATAGATGCAAAGAAGAGAACTTGTTGAATTATGGGGTTCATTTGTTCGTTGTGGCACAATGGTTACATACTGGGCCACTAAACAAGGTTGGCAGTTCAAAACCACCAGCTGCTCCACAGGAGAAAGCTCTGCAGGGCTTTCTATCCCCATAGTTACAGTCTTAGAAACGCACAGGGGCAAGTCTACCCTGCCCCATATGGTCTCCATGAGTCAACATTGACTCACCGGCAATGAGTTTACTTTTCTGGGTTTTGTTGGTTCAAAAGCCCCACTGGCGTAAAACGGGCTGCTAACTGCAAAGTCCGCAGTTCTAATTCACCAGTCGCTCCATGAGGAAAAGACGAGGCCTTGTACTCCCTGAAACAGTCTGCGTCTTGGAAACCAATTGGAGCAATTCTCGATGGCAGTCAATTGGGGTGGGGGGTGGGGGGCTGTTAGCCTATCACAAATTGGTGGGTTTGAGTCTAAAATAAGATGATTCCTTCCCTCTGGATAGGTTAAAGCTAGCCTACTTTCAACATCAGTGACACAGGAATCTATCAATAAACAAGGGTTCCCCCCGGGGGTTATGAGTCAACAAACATACTGTAAAACAATTTAACTCTCAAGCAGATTTGGGGACTTAAGACTTTTTGCCCTGACAACTGGCTCAGTTGAACCAAAGGATGGTTAACATAACATTTAAATATTTTCTGAATACCTACAATGCACTACACCACGCATCTGTCAAAAGCTTGTCATATTGTGGAAGCTCGCATTGTTAAATGCTGGAAGCTGTGTCACCACTATTTCAAATACCAGGTTCAGTGGAGTTTCTAGACGCAGACAGACTAGGAAGAAAGGTGTGGTAATCTACTCCTGAAATGTTGCCAATGAAAAGCCACAGACAACAACAGAATATGTATTGCCCATACAGTGCTGGCAGATGAGTCAGCAGGTTGGGAATCACTCCAAATACAACTGGGGTAGAGCTGCCTTCTCAAAGCAGTAGCTATTGTGATTTGCCACCGAGTCTCAAAGTAGAGTCACTCTGGACATGGCTGGAGTCAAGTCTTCAAGACCTTCATTTGCTGACACTGTAAGACTCAATAATGCGAGGTTACTGTACCAACAACAAAAAAAATGCAGCTAGCTACAGCTAGTGCTGTAGTGTTAGGTTAGGAGGATACAAAATAAGGTGGTCCCAGACTTCAAAGGAGCCAGTTTTCCTGAGTGGCCATGCTAGTATCAACAATGAAATGTTGTTACTTTGTTAGTCCTATAGGATAAATGAAGTTCTACAGCAAAAATGTGGCAGTGCTGAGAGAGCATCTGAGTTCAATGTCAAGTTTTTAAAATCCATCTACTCACTCCCTCTAGATTTATACTTGACTTATACAAGGTCACTATCTGTTCTGCTCTTGTAAAGTTTTACAGTCCTGGAAACCCAACAGAGGCCACAACGTTTAAGAACTGACAGGATGATTGGGTGGGTGAATACTGGACTGGTAACCAAAAGGTCAGCAGTTCTAACCTACCAGCTACTCTGAAGAAGGAAGACGAGACTATCTGTTCCTATAAAGATTTACAGCCTTGAAACCCTACATAAGGTCACTGTGGTAGCTGCAAAATTTCACGTCAATGTAAAGATACATGAAAGTGTAGGGGTGGTATTCAACCTGTCAGTCAGGTCAACACCTGATGGTGCCTCCTAGTGGGCATAGCCTTCTCATAAGGTCCAGGGAACCTCTCCCTCTCTGCCTTGACCTTCCTGATCGCTGACCTGGAGGGCTGTTGGAACCCTCCCATGTTTTCTACTGACCTCAGATTCACATGACTTTGCACACTCCCGCCTGTGATCTTCCTGCATTCTGCATCAGCACATGTGGCTGGGTGAGTCTGAAGAGGGGCTGAAGGACGTGCGTTGGACTGGGCTGTTTTCTTCATGTATCATTACTTCTTGATAAAGCTTTCTTCTTACACATATACGGGTGTCGGCTGGATTTGTTTCTCTAGTCAATCTGGTTTAACAGTCACTAGAAGTTGGAATTGACTTGATAGCAGTGGTTTGGTTTTAGGTTTTAGTGTGAGTGGGATGTATGTGTTGGCTTAGCATATGATTGAATCCTTGGTATTTTCTGGAATTCGGGTTTCAGTAGATAGAGCACAACATTTCAAGATAAGCTAGAATCACAGATCAAATATCCATTTATAACGTTTTAGGGAGAGAACTACAAGAATCAACAATATGAATAGACGGTTAGGGTAAAAAGAATAAAAGAATTCTAGCCTCTGGCTATAGCTGTCAGGGGGCGGAGGGTGTTGCTTAAATTCACAATGTAAAAACGTCTTGCTTCCTAGTTGTACCAGAAATAAAATGCCCAACTAATAATTTGGCACCTAAATTACAGGACAAAACCATCTGCACACAGAAATACATTTAGCATTTAGTATCCTGTGTCTTTTTTTTTTTTTCCCAAGAAAAACTTCAAAAAGAAGCAAGAATGCCTAGAGAGAGCAGGTGCCCAATAGCTGCTTACTGAAGGCAGCGTTGCCTTCCATTTGGGTGGTAATATTCAAATAAGCATGTCAAGGGTAGCACTTCTTGACCTTGCAAAAGAACATTTCCTCTTTCTTCTAATTGTGCAATGAAAACAGCGACGGTCCAAGTCCTGCTCTGCCAATAGCTAACCAACTGACCTCTTTCTACCTGCACACAGACTTCACTCGCAGCACTTGGCCTTACGCTAGCCCAGGTCTCCAACTTTTTAAACAGGGGGCCAGTTCACTGTCCCTCAAACCTGCTGGAGGGCTGGACTAGTTTAAAAAAATACTATGAACAAATTCCTATGCACACATCTTATTTTGAAGTAAAAAACAAATGGGGCAAAAACACCCGGTGGGCCGGATAAATGTCCTCAGTGGGCCGTAGTTTGAGGACACCTGCTCTAGACCAGTGGTTCTCAACCTTCCTAATGCAGCGACCCTTTAATACAGTTCCTCATGTTGTGGTGACCCCCAACCATAAAATTATTTTCACTACTTCATAATTGTAATTTTGCTACTGCTAGGAATTGTAATGTAAATATCTGATATGCAGGATGTATTTTCATTGTTACAAACTGAACATAATTAAACATAATTATGTTTAGTGATTAATCACAAAACAATATGCAATTATGTATTGTGAAATATTTATGTCTTTTCTGATGGTCTTAGCAAGGGTGGTTTGATCCCCCAAAGGAGTCAAGATGCACAGGTTCAGAACTGCGTCAAACTGCTTTTTTAGCAACAGGGCTTTAAAAAGTTCATGGAAGAATTCTGCTTCTTTTAATCCCATTTTTCCACGAACATTTTGAAGTACCTTGTTATTTCTAAATGTAGGAAACGGGCCAGGTCTCATTCAACTATGACAAGTTA